AATATAATTGACAACAACTAAAAAAAATCCACCCAGATTATTATACAACTTAAAATCACAAAAGGCATATGTCAATGTCGTATTACATAACCATATTTATTTAATCTTTGTCCTAAACAAATAATAAAAAGCCCTGAACTACATGAAGAAAAAAAATGTAGCAGGAATCTAACAGGATTCTTCCTCCAGGAATGGAGGAAGAATTATCAGCAAGTTGAGATATGCATACGACACAACATGCTTGCAAAGACTTGGGCATTTTTTTAATCTTTTAAATATCTATTTTTTTTCTTCTTTTTTTAAATTGAGATTGTAATGAAAGATTATAGAGAACTTGGATTTCCCTTCATTCATTGTTTCACATTTTCCTCTTGCCTACTCCTTCCTCCCTGTTCACTTTCCTCTTTGAGAAGCGAAAAAAAGAAATTTTCATTGTTATACAACACCCCCCCAGTCCACTTTACTATACAGCTCTTATTCTGTACTCTTGCCATGCAAATAATACCTAAGCATATATCCCTTTGAAACAGCTCTCTCCCTCATCTGTTTCAATGCAGTATAAATTACAACCAGGACAGGATAAAATAGATGAATGGGATTTTCTAAGAATCAAATCCCTGTCAAAAACTAAGAAGGAAAACTACAGACTGGGGAAAAATATTTGGTAATGACATGTCAGATAAGGGACTTATATCTAGAATTTACAAAATACTCTAGCACCACAACATAATAAAGGTAAACAACTTACTTGCAAAATAGACACAGGAAATCAACAGACCACTAAAGAAGACATACAGATAGTGAACAAGCACATGAAGAAATGTTCAAATCTCTAGCTCTAAGAGAGATGCAAATCAAAACAACTATGATATATCATCTGACCCCAGTAAGAATAGCAAAATTCAACAGAGCAGCAAACAACAAATGCTGATGAGGTTCAGAGAAACTGGAACTCTTATTCGCTGTTGGTGAGAGTGTAAAGTGGTGCAACCACTATGGAAGGAAGCATGGCACTTTCTCAAAAAGTTGCAAATAGAAATACCATTTGACCCAGGAATTTCACTACTGGGAATATATCCTTAAGAAACCAGAACTGCCAACCAAGCAGATATATGCACATCTAAGTTTATTGTTGCTTTGTTCACAATAGCAAAGAGTTGGAAACAACACAAATGCCCATCAACAAACGCTAAAGAAACTATGGTATATTCACCCAATGAAATACTATGCAACATTAAAAAACAAGGAACTCATGAAATATACAAAATGGGTGAGCCTGGAGGATATGTTGAATGAAATATCTCAATCACAAAAGTGCAAATACCTCATAATGCCATTGTTATAAAACAGGACTGAGTTTAGGGAGGAAAATAAGAAAAGATGGGATAAATAATGTAGACTTGGGCATTTATTAATGAAGATCAAAGACCAAAAGTTTCAGTATGAATTACATCTCAACATAAAACTCTCAAACTCATTACCATCATGTCAGAACCAACTCATAGCTGATCCTCCAGTTTGTTTTCCTCAGACGATTGTCAGTTACACAAGAGGAAATTGTCCAAGGAGGAACTGTCCTGAGAAACTGCTGGTAGATGCAAACTACCAGAGAGGCACCAGCTTTGACCTAGCAGAGAAACTCCCTACAGAATATGCTACCAGAGCTCTGTCCTTAAAAAAAAAACCAAACAAACAAAAAACATCAAAGCTAGATTAATATGTAAATTATAATAAATAAAAAAGTAATGCAATCATTTTATTTTGTTTTATTTTATTTATATCTAAATCAATATCTAAGGAAGCAGTAGTCAATAAATCAAACAACCTAGTGCTTTGGGCATATCTGCCTTGCAAAGAGGATAGAAATGGCTGTTGGACCATGTGTCTCATGAGACATGACAATGTTAAAGGAGAAAGAATTAGGCAGGGGCAGGGGAAGGTAATATTTTTGGCAAGAAACTCAAGAAAATTTGGACTTTTTTTTTTCTTTTTTGCCTGTTGTTATGTGCCGTCCAGTCATTTGCTACTCATAGCAACCCTATGTACAACAACAGCTCTGACCCTGCTTTATCCTGAGCTAACCTTACTGTCTCTGACACATCTACCCAAATACCCTAGTCACTGAGTCAATCCATCTCATCATAGCAAGGTATATTCATCAAGGAATATGAAATCATTTTAATAAAGTAATAAAACAATAAAGCAAGGAGCACAGTCAAAATAATTCTCAGACAACTGCAAGTAAAGAGCAAGGAGCACAGTCAAAATAATTCTCAGACAACTTCAAGTAAAGATATTTTCACCAAGAATTTCATATAGTTTAAAGTAATATTTTCAAGAATGTGAAATTCAAGCTGGAGGGAGACCTACTATATCTCTCCCTAGTGTATTTTGGGTGATAATTCTTCTTCTAGGACAAAGTAAGGGCCCCTTACAAACACAGTTATGCACAGATAATTCTACAGTTGTATAAGTTTCATAATATAATGTCAAAACAAAAAGTATTATAAGAAACTCAGAATATGACTGTCTCCATAAAGTAACAAAAAATAACTATGATTTTTTGTAAATGGCTCCCATATGAATATTTCTAATATCCCAAACCAAATATTTTTTACTAAATGTTGGGTATTTTTAACCTCAGGACATTCAGGGAGTGTAATATACGGAAATGCTTTAGACATGTGAGGAAGGGCCAGTTCCTTTTCAAGTATGATGTCCTTCTCCAAGGAACAGTCCCTGCTGGCGACATGTTCAAAGTATGTGAGATGGAGCTTCAAAATCCTAGCTTCCAAGGACTCTAAGACAGACATATTTGTTTTCTTGATATGTGCAAGATTCTTCTCCAGAGCCACAACTCAAAAGCATCATTTTTTTTTCTGTCATCCTGGGTCATTGTCCAGCTTTCTGATGCACAGCAAGTAATTGCAAGGAACATGTCCTGGATTAGGCACAGCTTAGTCTCTAGACTGACATCATTGCTTCTCAGTACTGTGGAGAGGTCCCTGATGGCAGATTTTCCCAATGCAATTCATATTTTGATTTCATGACTTCTGGTGCCATGAGTGTCGATTGTAGAGCTGAGCAAGCTATAATTGTTTTCAACCTTGATCTCTTCTACTTCTATCATGGTGCTGCCAGTTGGCCCAGTAGTGAGAATCTTTCTTCTTGATGTTGAGCTTCAAATCATATTGAAGACTACAGTCCTTGACCTTCTGCAGGAAGCAATTCAGGTCCTCCTCAGTTTTAGCAAACAAGGTTGTGCTATCTGCATAACGTAGTTTGTTGATTAGTCTTCCTCCAATTCTGATGCCACATTCCTCCTTATAAAGCAGTCTCCCAGATGATACGTTTTATGTGTAGATTGAAAACATATGGAGACAGTACGCATCCTTGACACATCCTTTTCTGATTTTGAACCATGTCGTGTTTTCCTTGCTCTGTTTTGAGGACTTCTTCCTGGTCCAACTCTAGATTTCACATGAATTCACAGTAGTCCCATATATATCAGATTATAATTGTGCTCCATGTGTTTTTATTGCTTGATTTTTCAAAAATAGATCACCATATCTTTTTTTTACGTGAGTTTGAATTTAAAATCTTTAGTTACTAAGCACGATAACCATCTGAACTACTCTGAGACTCTAGGAGAAATGTAACTATATAAAATTAAGGATAATTAGGATTTTGCTGAGATGCTTTTTTTTCCAGGAAAGAACATTGTGCTTGGAAAGCTGAAGGGTAAGTGAAGAAGGAGAAAAGCCTCAATAAGTTCAATAAAATAGTTTGACACAGTGACTTTAACAATGGACTCAAGTACATAGCAGGGCTGATAAGGATGGCACAGATTCAGTGTTCAGATTCATTGTTCATAGAGTTGCTATGAGTTTTAGTCAACCTGATGGTACCTAACACCACCATAACCTACAATATGGATTCACCTTAACATAAGGGAAACAAACTGCAACAGTAAACAGCCTCAGTATATGGAGAAAACCAGAAGGTGTCAAGAATTTTCTTTTACTCAGGTCCACAATCAAAACTCGTGGAAGTAGCATTTGAAAGAAACCAAAAGAAATGTTTATTGGACAAAACTGCTGTCAGTAACTTCCTTAAAGTACAAATGAGCAAAGGTGTTACCTTAAATAATAAGGTATGTCTGACCAGAGTACGGTATTTTCAATTGCTACTTGTACACAAAAACAACTTGACAATTAATAAAGAAGACTGAAAGAAGAATTGTTGTGTTAGAGAAAAATGTTGAATATACTCTGAACTGTCAAAAGAACAAACATATCTGTATTGAAAGAAGTGTAAAACAGAGTGTTCCTTAGAGGCAAGGATGATGAGACTTAATCTCACTTTGGGCATGTTATCAAGAGGGACCAGTCTTGGAAAAGAACATTACATTTGGAAAGTTAGAAAGTCAGTGAAGGAGAGGAACACTTTCAATGAAATGAACAGACATGATAACTGCAACAATGGATTTAAACTGCGCAGAGAGATTATGAGGATGGTGCAAAATCATGTAGCATTTTCTTGTTATAAGTTTGGAGTAGACTCAGTGATAGCTAACAAGAGAACTAGTAATTAAAAACCATAAGTGAAAAGTCTTGGTCCCTCTTACTATTGTGCTAAAACTGAATTTCATTTAATCTATCAATATTTGAAGACACCTGACTAATGTAAATGACTTTAATTTGGCTACTAATGAAAAAAAAATGGTGATTCTAACCAAACAAAATAACCAAAATCTGGAAATCTATTTTTGTCATGAGTGGGGAAGGGGTGGCTGACAAAAACAAAAATCTTTATGATTGTTAAGTTTTACTTTGCAACACAGAGTTGACATGAATTACAATCAACACATAACACCGATGAGGTTCAGTTTTGTACTCATATGGGTCAAATCTTTAAATAAAGTTGGCTCTTGTTGCATGAGTTGCTGGGCTTATTTTTTGGTTTTTGCTGTTTCATGATGAATCAATTTCTATCTTCAGGAGATCGAAGAGTTTGTCCAGAGCTCTGGAAATCATGGTATTGTGGTGTTTACTCTCGGGTCGATGATCACTAATATGTCAGAAGACAAGGCCAATATGATTGCATCAGCCCTTGCTCAGATTCCACAAAAGGTAAGATAAAATACCTTAATCATGACATATGACTTTTAACTAGTCTGTTCAACTTTGCAAAGGATCTGATTTTGGAAATTTTCTACAGGAAGATAAGCTATTGTGATAGCTCAAATTTATCTTAGATTTCCATTTAGAAGAAAATGATAATATTTCTATTTATGTGTAAAAGATTCAAATAACACAAGGGATTTTAACTGTTTATTTTCCTCAGCCTTGACATTATGATACTTTAAGTACATATATTTAATAGGCATAATGTGCAATTTTGGCATTGTAATGATTTTGTAGCCAGTTGTATATTGAATGTTGGTTAGTCTTGTTTTTCCTCTTCCCTGCAAAATTTTCAAAAGGCACTATACCAAAGGAAATAGCAAAAAGAGTAATTTTTAATTATACAAACATAAAAATAGCAAATCAGATAGGAAAGTTTAAAATAGTTTACAAAACACATACACTGGAACAAGAGAAATAAATTTTTTTCCTCATCATTCAAAATAATAGTAAAAGAAGAGAAATAGGCAAAAGTTAAATTTAAAAGATAACATCATAAACAGATAAAAGAAACATGTAGATCATTATAAATTTTTCTTCTATTTGCATTAGAATTTATCATTGCCTATAACTTCATGCTGGGTAGAGTAGAGGGACAGCGCAGGAGGGGAAGACCCTCTATGAGGTGGATTGATTCAGTGACGGGGTAA